TGGGATTTTGGAAAACATTGTTATTAGATTCTAAACAATAATCTATTAAAATAGAATCATGGTGAGCTTTGGAAGTTATTGAATTTGTGTTTGTACCATGGCCAGGAGGAACAGGTGACAATGACTTGTTCTCTTTCTGGTAACTTTGTTCTTGGTAAGGGGAGGATCCATATTGTTGAAATGGCCGATGTCCATGGTTGTAGTATAGTGCATCGGATTGGTGGTTATGTTGTGAATAATAGTAACTCTCCTGAGAGGTTGGAAGTGGGCGATGAACCAAGTCATCAACGTCACGATCTACGGCGGTCAGGCCATTCTTGAGCTTGTTCATATTTACGAAAAGATGTAAATAAGCTTTATTAAAAAAAAAAAATAAAAAATAAAAAAAAATAAAACTTAAGAAAGTATTGAATAATTATAGAATAAAACAAGGGAGAACAATTCAAGAGAGATTGGCGAGACAAGGACAACCATATCATCGAGTGGATAATATATCTATGTGAAAATAGGAGTACAAATAATTCTTGCACCAAAGTTTCATGATTTACGGAACCATTTATTTGTATTACCGTTATATATAATTTTGTTGCACGTGCATGATAAATTTATCATCATATTAATCCGAAATCCCTAACCCACATTGTTACTGTGCGATGATCTAGTGTTACATTCTAGAAATGTAATCTTTATTTGTATATTTGTGAGCACGCGCATACACTTTATTTGCTAATTTTATACTACAATAGTTAGCGTTTTAGTGCGAATTTTTTTTTCACGTTCAGGTCGTTCGAAGACTTAAAAATTCAATTATTTAAATTATAAATAATAATTGTTTATAGTGCAGTAGTTTACGAATATTTCATGATCAACAAATTGCACATGATTGCTAACGTGTTGTTTAATGTCATAAAATCGTATCGTGATATTTTTCAATTCGTGTAGCGGTCTTGATTTTGTGATTTAGTAATGATCCGCGCAAAGTTATTTATAGGAATGGATCGGTCCCGAAAAGGCCAGTCTTTTTGGTCTGTCTTTGTGTTCTGCAAAAAAGATCCGGTTGGAACCAGCATTTTTAGTGGACATAAAAGTAGAAGGTACCCGGACTGAAGATCATACCATTTGTATTTTTAACGTGTCTGTCACCAGTAGCAAACGTCTTCAAAGTTTTCGGTTCCGGGTGATTTTGAAGAATTGCTACTGATGACAGGCATGTTGGAGATACAAAGTGAAGCCTGTTTCTAGGAACATTACTTTTATGCCCACTAAAAATGCCGGTACTTTTTTTGCAGAACACTAGTCTGTCTTATTGGTTATTGGAGACTGGACTGAAAAACACTATATAGCTGTTTTTATAATTTTACTAAATTAATAAAACCTACTGTATTAGAATCTACTAAATTAAAAGAACTTGATAAGGCCAATAAACTTGATAGACCTAATCAGTCACGCTTCCACGTCATCATACTATCGAGTTCCATAAAAGTATTCTTATACAGAAGTTATACGTATTTAAAAGATGCTTATAGATAATTATTTTTATATATAGATCATTTTATTAATGGTGATACAATGCTTATTAATATAGCAAGTTAAAAATATTTATAAATAATTTTTTATTTAATTATTGTTATTTTAAATATATCTTTTAGAAGGGTTTTTCTAAATATCTCTGGCCAGAGATATATAACTTATATATCTCTGGCCTATTGACCAATCAAACCTATAGAAAATCATGTGATCAAATCATGTGACAACACGGCACTATATGCAATATTTCCGAGATCAGATCGGAAAATC